CCCGCCGAGCAGAGAGCCCGATATGGGGCTCGATCCCAGGACTCTGGGATCATGACCTGAGCCGAAGGCAGAGGCTTTAACCCACTGAGCCACCCAGGCGCCCCGGCTGCACCATTTTAAATTCTCCGCAGCAATGAATGAAGGTTCTGATGTTCCATATCCTTGTCAACATTTGTTATTATCTGACTTTTTTATTCTAGCTTAGGAGGGGTGAATCTCACTGTGGCTTTGGGTTATATTTCTCTGATGACTAGTGATGTTGAGTATCTTTTCATGTCTTTATTGGCCATTTATTTATCTTCTTAGAGAAAGATATATTCAAGTCTTTAGCTCATTGTAAAATTGAGTTGTTCTTGTGGTTGTTGTTGAAGTTGTTTATATATTCTGGATATTAAATCCTTATCAGTACATGATTTGTGGGTGGTTTTTCCCATTCTTGATGGTGTTCTTTTAAACAGAGAAATGTTTAATTGTGGTGCAGTTCAATTTATCTTTATTTTTGTTGTGATTTTGGGAAGAATTCTTTACCAAGTCTAAGGTCATTAGGATTCACCTCTATATTTTCTTCTAAGAGATTTATAGATTTAGTGCTTCTTAAAAATTGAGGTGTAATTGATGTGTAACATTATATTAGTTTCAGGTGTACAAAACATTTACTTGATATTTATGTATATTTATATATTACAAAATACAGTTTTAGCTCTTAAATGTTTGATCCAATTTGAACTAACTTTTGCATATATATGAGATAAGGGTACAACTTTCTTTTGTTTGTGTCTATCTGGTTGTCCCAGCACCATTCGTTGAAAAAACTATTCTTTCCCTGTTGAATAGTCTTGTCACCCTTTCTGAAATTTAGTTCACCGCAGATGTTTGGGTTTATTTTTTTACTCTCAGTTTGGTTCTAATGCTTTATATGTCCATCCTTGCACCAGTACCACACCATCTTGATTAATGTTGCTGTATAGTAAGTTTTGAAATTGGAAATTGTGTCTTTATTTTTATTTCTCAAGACTCCTTTGGCAGTTCTGGACCTTGCAATTCCATATGGATTTTTTATTTTTTTTTTTATTTTTATTTTTTTATTTTTTATTTTTTTAAAAGATTTTATTTATTTATTTATTTGTCAGAGAGGAAGAGAGAGAGAGACAGCACACAAGCAGGCAGAGAGGCAGGCAGAGGTGGAGAGAGAGAAGCAGGCTCCCTGCTGAGCAAGGAGCCCGATGCGGGACTCGATCCCAGGACCGTGGGGTCACGACCTGAGCCGAAGGCAGCGGCTTAACCCACTGAGCCACCCAGGCGTCCCTCCATATGGATTTTTTAAAATCATTATCAATTTCCACAAAGAATCAACTGAGATTTTGATAGGATTATGTTGAATTGTATATCAATTTGGAGAGTACTGCCATTTTGACATTAAGTCTTCCAATCCATCAACACAGAATGTTTCCCCATTTATTTATTCTTAATTTCTTTCAACAATGTTTTGTAATTTTCAGGGTAAAAGTTTGGCATTTTTTTGGTTAAATTAAGTATTTTATTATTTTTGATGTTATTGTAAATGGGATTGTTTACTTAATTTCATTTTTGGATTGTTCATTGCAAGTATATAGCAATACAATACATTTTTGTATATATATCTCGATCCTGCAACCTTGCTAAAGTTTATGAGTTCTGATAGTTTTTCAGTAGGTTATAAGGTTTCCTAAATATGGGATCATGTAATCTGTGAATATAGTAGTTTTATCTCTTCTTTTCCAGTGTTGGTGCTTTTTCTTGCCTAATTGCCCTTACCAGGAGCTCCAGACATCTTTGCCTTTTTCCTGGTCTTAGGGGGGAAGCATCCAGTCTTTCACTATTAAGAATGATGTTAGCTATGGATTTTTAGTAGATGACTTTTATGAGGTTGAGAATGTTTGCTTCTAGTTTGTTGAATGTTTTTATCAGGAAAGAGTTTGGATTTTGTTAAATGCTTTTTCTGTATCTATTGAGATGACTATGTGATTTTAAAATGTCTTGTATTGAAATGATTGAATTTTGGATATTAAACCAACCTTGCATTCCTAGGGTAAATCCATTTGGTCAATGGTATATAGCTTTTGTGGGTTGTTGTTGTTATTGTTTTATGTTGTTGGATTTGGTTTGCTAGTATTTGCTTAAGGATTTTCATATGTCCATATTCAGAAAAGCTACTGATTTGTAGTTTTTTTTTTTTCTGATGTCTTTATCCGGTTTTGATATTAGGATAATACTGGTCTCATAAGATGAGTTGGGAAGTTTTCCTTTCTCCACTATTTTTGGGAACAGTCTGTGAAGAATTGATACTGAATATTCCTCTTTAAATGTTTAGTACAGGGCACCTGGGTGGCTCAGTTGGTTAAGCATCTGCCTTCAGCCCAGGTCATGATCCCAGAGTCTGGGGATTGAGCCCCGTATTGGGCTCCCTGATCAATGGGGAGCCTACTTCTCCCTCTCCATCTGCTGCTCCCCCTGCTTGTGTTCTTTGATGATCTCTGTCAAATAAATAAAATCTCTAAAAAACATTTAGTACAATTCAGCAGTGAACTCTGGGGCTGGCTTTTCTTTGTGGATAATTTTCTATTACTAATTCAGTCTTTTCACTTGTCATAGCTCTGTTCATAATGTTTTATTCTTGAGTCAGTTTTGGTAGTTGGTATGTTTCCAAGAACTTTTCCATTTCACTTTAAGTTATCTAATTTGTTGGCATGGATTTGTTCACAGTATTGTTTTATAATTCTTTTTATTTCTGTAAGGTTGGTAGTAATATCCCCTCTTTCATTTCTGATTCTAGTAATTTCAATTGTCTCTTATATTTTCTTGGCCAACCTAACTAAAGGTTTGTCAATTTTGTTGATCTCTTCAAAGAAGCAGATTTTGGTTTTATTTATCTTCTCTATTGTTTTTCTATTCCCTATTTCATTATTTTTTGCTCTGGGCTATTATTTACTTCCTTCTGTGTGCATTAGGTTTAGTTTACTCCTCTTTTTCTAGTGTTTTAAAGTGAAAGGTTAAGTTATTGATTTGAGATTTTTTTTCTTTTTAACTGTAGGCATGCTAGCAATACTGACTCCATCTTTGGTCTTCCATCGTGTTCATGTTCACTCAGTGACCTCTCTTGAGGCTATGTGTTCCCTTGGAGATTAATATATATACCTTAGAAATGCCCACAAAGTCTGGGATGGGGGAGTCTTTCTTTGTCCCTCCTCAAGTTTGTTAGAGATAAAATAGTCTCTCCCCTTCCTGATGCATAGGTGGTACCACGAGGTCTAGTTAAATGTTCGATGTTAATTCAGTGCATACAAACCCTTTGAAATGCATGGGAACCCTTTGATCTCACTACAGTGCCCTTCTGTACACCCCCTCACTCCATAAAATCTGTGGATGAAGGTCCGGACTCTGTAGAGAATGGCTGTACAGCTGACTGGATCCTCGTCTGCCCAATCCCTCCTGTCAGTTAGTTACCCTGAATAAAACACTATGTAAACTGTATGGAGTCACTTTTTTTGTTTTTCAGTCTCAAAGTGCCTTCTCAGTTTGGGGGATACTGTCTCTTCCCTACCTTCTAACATTAACTAGGTATTTACCACTGTGAATTTCCCTCTAAGCACTGCTGCCCTGCTAGAGAGGCGTTCCATAAGTTTTGGTATGTTAATTCTTGATTTTCATTCATCTCAAAGTATTTTGGATTTCTCTTTTAATTTCTTCTCTGACCCATTGTTATTTAGGAGTATGTTGTTTAATTTTTACATATTTGTGAGTTTCACAAACATTTTTCTGCTGTTGATTTCTAATTATATCCCATTTTGGTTAGACAACGTTCTTTGCATTATTTTTGTCCCTTTAAATTGATTGAGGTTTGTTTTATGGCCAGGCACATGGTGTGTTCTTGAGAATGTTCTATGTGCACTTGAGAAGAATGTATATACTGCTGTGTTGGGTTGCATGATCTACAGATCTAGTGTTCTGACTGGCCTAGAGTATTTTTCAGATCTATTTCCTTGTTGAGATTCTGTATAGTTCTGTCTATTATAGAAAGTGGGTATTAAAGTCTTTAGCTACTACTGTTGAATTGTCCTTTCTCCCTTCATTTCTGTCACTTTTTGCTTTATGTATTTTGGTGCTCTATTATTAAGTGCATATATACTTGTTATATCTTCTGATGACATGACCCTTTTATCACGATGTCCTTATCTCTAGTAACTTTTTTCTTAAAGATTTTTTTTTAAAGATTTTATTTATTTATTTGATAGACAGAGATCACAAGTAGGCAGAGAGGCAGGAGGAAGCAGGCTCCCCACTGAGCAGAGAGCCTGATGTGGGGCTCGATCCCAGGACCCTGGGATCAGGACCTGAGCCGAAGGCAGACGCTTAACGACTGAGCCACCCAGGCGCCCCTTTCTTAAAGATTTTATTTATTTATTTGACAGAGCGAGATCACAAGTAGGCAGAGAGGCAGGCAGAGAGAGAGAGGAGGAAGCAGGCTCCCTGCCAAGCAGAGAGCCCGTGCGGGACTCAATCCGTGCGGGACTCAATCATGACCTGAGCTGAAGGCAGAGGCTTAACCCACTGAGCCACCCAGGCACCCTCTAGTAGCATTTTTAAAAAAGATTTTATTTGTCCATTTGAGATAGAGCAAGAGTGAGAGAGAGAGAGAAAGAGAGCACAAGCAGGGGGAGCAGAAGGCAGAGGGAGAAGCAGACTCTCCACCAAGCCAGGAGTCTGACATGGGGCTCGATCCCAGGACTCTAATTCATGACCTGGACTGAAGGCAGATGCTCAACAGATTGAGCCACCCAGGTGCCCCTTTCTAGTAAATTTTTTTTTTTAAAGATTTTATTTATTTGATAGAGAGAGAATGAGAGAGAGAGCATGAGAGGAGAGAGGTCAGCAGGAGAAGCAGACTCCCCACAAAGCAGGGAGTCTAATGTGGGACTTGATTCCAGGACTCCAAGATCATGACCTGAGCCGAAGGCAATCAATTAACCAACTGAGCCACCCAGGCGTCCTAGTAAAATTTTTATTTCAAAGTCTATTACATCTGATAATGCTATAGGCACCCGAACTCTCTTGTGGTTGCTATTTGCATGATACATTTTTTTCATTCATTTATTTCAATCCATTTCTATTTTGTATCTAAATTATACTTCCTGGATAGCATATGGCCAGATCATGTGTTTATTTATCCAGTCTGACAAACTGTGCCCTTTTATTGGAATGTGTAATCCATTCACATTTAGTAATATTAGATTTATATTTGCCATTTTACTTTTGGTTTTCTATGTGTCTTATCTTTTTTTGTTCCTCTGTTACTCCTCTCACTGCTTTCTTTTGCATTAAATGAGTGCTTTCTAGTGTTAATATTTTAGTGGGTTGACTGGTAGGTTGGATATCTTGAGATGAATCATCCTGGATTAATTAGGGTGGTCCCTAAATGCAATGATTAAAGTCACTGTAAGAAAAGTATATGCAGAGATACACAGAAAGAAGGCCATGTGAAGACAGAGGCAGAGATACAAGTATAAGCCAAGATTGTGTATGATAACTGGGAACCACAAGAAGCTGGAAGAGGCAAGGAAGGACCCTTTCTGAGAAACTTCAGAGAGAACATGTCCTGCTGACACCTTGATTTCAGACTTTTATCCTTTTTATTTATAAAAAATAAAGTTTATATTTAAACTTTTAAAATTTATTTTAAATTTTAAAATAAAATTTATTTTATTCCCTCTAGAAGAGGGAAAGAATACAATTCTGTTGTTTTAAGCAACTCTATTTGTGGTTATCTGTTACTGCGGCTCTAGGAAATAAATACAGACCTTTTATTTTCTTTAATGACTTTTTAAACTTTATCTCTTTTCATTATATTCTGATAACTTATCAGAATCTACTTCAGATTTATACTTAATTCCAGTGAGATACAGAAATGTTACTTCTATATAGCTCTATTCTCTTTTTTTACTTTTTGTTATATTATTGTTACCATATTATGCCTGTTAATATTACAAACCTAACCATACGTTGTTATAATTATTACCTTAGCCAACTGTAGTAACTTCCTTAACTCAGTATAGCTTTACTCCAATCCGTCTGTTTTGTTCAATTGTTGGTAGATATATTGCACATATATTTCTATACATTATAAGTCCAACAATATACTCTATGGATCATATTTTATATAATTGCTTAAGATTTTATTTATTTATTTGAGAGATAGAGAAAGACTGCACAAGAAAGGAGAGAGAGAGGGGGAAAGGGAGAAGCAAACTCCCCACTGATCTGGGAGCCCGACGACATGGGGTTCAATCCCAGGACCTGGAGATCATGACCTGAGCTGAAGGCAGATGCTTAACCATCTGAGCCACCCATGCACACCTATATAATTGTTTTTTAAATCCAGAGAAGAAAGGAGAATAACATACATTTTTGCTCTTATTTATAATTACTTAACTACCTTTATGTGCTCTTTGATTTGTGTGTGTGTGTGGATTTGAATTACCTTTTGGGCTCATGTGCTTTCACTGAGAAGAACTTAATCAGTTATTTCTTGTAAGGCGGGTATACTAGCAACAAATTCTCTCAGTTTTTTGTTTATTTGGGAAAGTCTTTATATCACTTTCATTTTTCCCCCAATTGTTTTTATTGCAGTGAAATACACATAACAAAATTTACCACTGTATCCATTTTTAGGTGCACAGTTTAGTGATATTAAGTATGTTAACAATGTTGTATGGACACCATTATCAGTCTCCAGAATTCTCCATCATGAAAAACTGAAATTCTATACCCATTAAACACTAACTCTCCATCCTCACCTCCCCCAGCCCCTGGCAACCACCACTCTAGTTACTCCCTATAAAGTATATTATACAGTATTTGTCCTTTTGTATTTAGCTTATTTCACCTTACATACTGTTTTCATATTGTAGCATGTGACTTTCCTTTCCTTTCTTTTTAAGTCTGAATAACATTACACTTATGTATACATTACATTTTGTTCATCCATTCATCTGACATTGAGTTGCTTGCACTTTTAGGGGATTGTGAATAATGTTGCTATGAACACGAATATACAAATATCACTTCAAATCATGTTTTCCTTTCTTATGGGCATATACCCTTTTCACCTTCACTTTGAAAGATAACTTTGCTGGGGTGCCTGGGTGGCTCAGTGGGTTGAAGCCTCTGCCTTTGGCTCGGGTCATGATCCCAGACTCCTGGGATCGAGCCCCGCATAGGGCTCTATGCTCGGCGGGGAGCCTGCTTCCTCCTCTCTCTCTCTCTGCTTGCCTCTCTGCCTACTTGTGATCTCTGTCAAATAAATAAATAAAATCTTAAAAAAAAAAAAAGATAACTTTGCTGGCTATAGGATTCCTGGCTGATAGTTTTGTTTTGTTTCCTTTGAGTACTTTGAATATGCTATCCCATTGCCTTCTGGCTTTCATTGTTTCTGATGAGAAGTCAACTGTTAGTCTTATTATGGTTCTGTTGTAAATGCTAAGTTGTTTTTCTCTTCCTGCTTTCAAGATTTTTCTCCTTGTTTTTTGATTTTTAGCATTTCTGCTAGAATGTGCCTGTTTGTGGATCGATTTGAGTTTATCCTGCTTGCAGTTCACTGAGCTTCCCTAATGTAGAGGTTATTGTTTTCCAATAATTTTGGGAAGTTTTCAGCCATTATTTCTTCAGATATTTTTTCCTCTTTTCTCCCTCTTCCTGTGGATTATCTTAAACAGTTTTTTAGAATCCTATTTTGATCTTTCTAATTTTTTAAAAAAGATTTTTATTTATTTGACAGAGATTACATGTAGGCAGAGAGGCAGGCAGAGAGAGAGGGGGGGGAAGCAGGCTCCCTGCTGATCAGAGATCCCGATGCAGGGCTTGATCCCAGACCCTGAGATCAAGACCTGAGCTGAAGGCAGAGGCTTTAACCCACTGAGCCACCCAGGCACCCCTCTAAATTGTTTTGATTGTAGCTTTTTACATATTATTAGTGGCCCTATAAGTATTACATTATACATATTATTTATCACAGTCTGCTGGCATGGATATTTTACCACTTGGAGTGAAGTGCAGAAATCTTACCTCTCTTTAGTCTCCTCACTTATAATTTTCTACCTACATTCAGAACCACATCAGACAGGATTATAATTTTTGTTTCAACCATCAAACATAATTTAGAAGTCTTAAGAGGAGACAGAAATAGTATTATAATTACATTCATTTTTATTATTCTTGATGTTCCTAGATTCCTTCTTTTATCATTTCCTTTCTGTTGAGAGAACTTCCTTTAGCTGTTCTTTTGGGATAAGTCTGCTAGCAACAAACTCTCTTATTTTCTTTTATCTGAGAATATTTTGATTTCCCTTTGATTCATAAGGAATATTTTCTCTGGATACAGGATGCTGGGTTGACAGTTCTTTTCTTTCAACACCTAAAAAATGTATTACTTCCTCTGGCCACATGGTTTCTGGTGAGGAATCTGCTGCCATTTGAATTGTTTTCCCAATAGGAAAATGTCATTTCTCTCACAGCTTTCAAGTTTTTTTGTTTTTTAGAATTTTGACTATGGCGTGTTTTGATGTAGATTTCTTTGGGATTCTCAGTTTGGAGTTCAGCTTTTTGAATCTGTACATTAATCTTTTGTGAATTCAGAAAGTTTTCAGCTATTTTTTTTTCTACTACTTTTCCAGACTTCCTCCATCTTTGTCTCTTTCCTGGACCTTGTTGACTCAAGTGTTAGATCTCTTATTATAATCTCATAGGTGTTTGAAGCTCTGTTCTTTTGATTTCTACTGTTTTATATTCATGTTATTTCTTCTGACTGGAGCAGAGCATTTATTGTCTGAATGTCCTTTCCTGGTCCTTTGACAGCAGGCTTTTTATGTTTGTGCCCTGTAGTATTTCCAGGTTGACCACTTCTTCACCTCTCAATCTGGTATATATGAGGCAAAAAGAAAACTCAAGCAACTTGCCACTATGTTGTTCCTGAGTCCCAAGTTCCTTAAACAGTTTGTCTTTTCCTTTCCACCTTTCAGAACCTTCTTATATTAATTTTCCATCTCATGTCTAGGGATTTTAGTTGTGCTTGTAGAAAGAATAGGGAAAAGTACATCTATTCCATTTCCCAGAGGCTTAACTCTGCACTTTTTTTTTTTTTCTTTTTAGGCAAGAGAGCGACGCTTGGCCCCACCGTGGGGCCGGCTGCACTTTTTTTTTTAATGTTAGTTTTACTTTTTATGAAAATAAATTTTTTATGAAGATGAATTTTCTTTTAAGAGGCAAGTTGTCCAATAAAGTATCCCACATTCTGAATTTGTCTAATTTATCAAACAGTTTCAACAAGAAGGCTACCTAGGTGATATGTTGTGTCTCATCACATCACCTTAGAAGGCATGTAGTGTCAAGTTCCCCCACCAGGTAGTCATGGTAAGCTTGATCACTCTTGTCTTCCTTTTTGTCATTGATAATTTGTGGAGTGAAGCTTTGTGAATATCTTCCCCAGCAACCTTCTACTCAATGATTTTAGCATGTTTTGGTGACTATATAAGATGTACAAAATGGTGATTCCCCCCAGACTGTCATTTCCTTTATTTATTATCTCTATTATTCTGTAAAGTTCTGTGCTTTTCTTCTTCTTTTAGTATCAATATTTTAATTAGTGTTTTCTAATTCATTAATGTCATTATTTTTTTATTTTGCTGGGATTATCCCTAATGAGTCAAATTGGGCTCCTTCAGGTTCATTCCCATTGTCCATTTAACATAGTCCCATTAGTCTTTGGGCATCTCCTTGATTTCTAGGCACCACAAGATATCCCAATTTCATCTCATTAATTCCATGCTTCACATCGGAACCAGTTGTTTCTCCAAGGATCCCTGCTTTCTTTTAGTAGGAATGATATTTAGAAATACACATAAATTCTAAGGGAAAAGAGTGGGAAGATAATGTACTGGATTAAAGTAGTAATTCATAGTCCTAACTGCACCTATTTTCTTGGTGATTTTGGTCTTCATTCAAAGTTAGGGAAGTAGAATTTTAGTATGATAGTGATTTGTGAGCTATGTCTCCCTGACAAGCCTGGATTTCTTGGGGGTCAGGCGAGTGTCTTTGCAATTTTTATATTCATAGTGGTTAGCACAGTTTCTGGAACAACAATAACAACAACAACAACAACAACAACAACAACAACAACAAAAAGGCACCTAATAAATATTTGGACTTAAATTTTGCTAACTAAATTCGTAAACTGTTCATCTTATAATTAAAATATTTTTCTAATTTTCTGACTACGCAGAGAAATAGTAAATGATGTGGAAGGAAGTTGCAGTGAGAACGTTCATTGGCTGTGGGCAAATTATTAAATGTTTCAGAACTAGTTTCTCTTGCTGAATGGTGAGTGTTTTATTGGCTTCAGCATACTAAAAAGGCTATAACAAGATCTGAGGCTGTTCTACTAGGTAATAGTAAGGCAGTGGGACATGACTCATGTTGAATGATTGTTGAAGGTGACTTTCAAAGCTTTATAGCTTGCCCTAGAGATGAATAGTGTACAACTGGTATTCAGCCTTTATATAGGAGACCTAAGCTGTTTTTTTTTTCCCCGACTGACATTCCTGCTATATTGCTTTATTACTTTTAAGTCAGTTGCTCAATCTCTTTTCCTCATTCTCACCTGGAAGTGTGTGACAGTATCCTAAACAAATTGAATTAAGATGTAATGAGAGAAACCATATAAAATCCTTTGATATGTAGTAATTAAATGAAATCTGTATTATAAGCACAGAACTTAGTCACTATAAGTAGCAACAAAGGAAGCCTAATGTCATATTCTAGGGTTTGTTTTTATTCAGAGGAGTTGTAGTATGGCATTTTAACAAGAGTTCCAAATGAAAGGGGGTTGCAGCCTGAGTCAAGCTTTTAGACTATAGTGATAATGGGACTGAAAGTTTTAGTTGTTTCAGTTTACTTTGGCAGAAGGCACAGATAAGGTGAATTTATTTATAACTTGCATTTTGAATGTAAGGAACAGAACCTAAAAGGAAAGGCTACAATATTTTTTTAAAAGATTTATTTATTTATGTATTTGACAGAGAGATAGAGAGGGAGCACAAGTAGGCAGAGCAGCAGGCAGAGGGAGAGGGAGAAGCAGGCTCTCCACGGAACAGGGAGCCCGATGCGGGGCTCAATCTCAGGACCCCGGGATCATGACCTGAGCCAAAGGCAGCCGCCTAACCAACTGAGCCACCCAGGTGTCCCAGGAAAGACTATAATATTAAACACCATATATATTAAGTAAAGGGTGTGTGTGTGTGTGTGTGTGTGTGTGTGTGTGTGTGTGTTTTGTTTGTTTTTAAAGATTTTATTTGTTTGACAGACAGAGATCACAAGTAGGCGGGGAGGCAGGCAGAGAGAGAGAAGGAAGCAGGCTCCCTGCTGAGCAGAGAGCCCGATGCAGGGCTCAATCCCAGGACCCTGGGTTCATGACCTGAGTCAAAGGCAGAGGCTTTAACCCACTGAGCCACCCAGGCGCCCTGTGTGTATTGTTTTTAATGATTAGGAAGAAAACTTTGTTTCTTCACCATTGGTAAAGTTAGAGGTATTCCATGTGTTTGTGTGCATCTTAAATATCAAAATACAAGAAAAGTTGAGGCTCCTTTGCACTGATCAGTTTAAAGAAATGTTTTGTTTTTTTGAATTTAATTTTTTTTTCAAGAAGTAATTCTCGCTTGGCATGAGAATTGTAAACAATATAGATGTATAACTTGGTAAAAGTTATATTGTCTCAATATATTATCTCAGTATATCTCAATACTCTCCCAAATGTTTTGTTTCTTTTCTTCCAGATATTTTCTGTATATGCAGAATATATAATATATATTTGTTTTTAGAAATCTGCTCATACTAACACAATCTTGTACTTGGTTTTGTTTTCACATAATGCACATCTTTGTATGTCAATATGTAGACATCTATATCATTCCTTTAAAAATTTTTTGCTTTAATTTTTTTACTTTTATTTTTAATGTCTACAATTTAATGAGTTCTTTTAGATTCTGAACACTGAACTAACCACTTTATCCACAATAATCAAATTAAGTCTTATAACAATTATCCTTGTTTTGTAGTTTAGGAAACATAGATTCAGAAAAATTGTATAGTATATTTGAAATCACACAAGGAATCTGACTTGGATTTGGTCAACCTAAATCCTGTATTCTTTCTTTTAAGTTTTAATTTAAATTCCAGTAGGGGCACCTGGGTGGTTCAGTCATTTACACATCTGTCTTTGGTTCAGGTTGTGATCCTGGGGTCCTGCGATTGGGTTCCACATCAGGCTTCTGGCTCAGTGAGGAGTCTGCTTCTCCCAATACCCTTCCCCCCATGTTTGTGATCTCTCTCTCTCTCTCCTTCTCAAATAAATAAGTAAATAAATCTTAAAAAAAAAAAAAGAAAGAAACTCCAGTTAGTTAACATAGAGTGTAATATCCATTTCAGGTGTACAACAATATAGTGATTAAAGACTTCCATTACCTGGGTGCTCATTACAAATGTGCTCCTTAATCCCAATTATCTATTTAACCCATCTCCCCACCCACCTTCTCTCTGGTAACCATCATTTTGTTCTTTATAGTGAAGAGTCTGTTTCTTGGCTTGCCCCTCTCTCCTTTTATTCCCTTTTGCTTCTTTGTTTTGTTTCTTAAATTCCACATTAAACTCCATTGCAAATGATAAGCTTTCACTCTTTTTTATGACTGAGTAGTATTCCATTATATATACCACAACTTCTTTATCCATTCCTTAGTCAATGGACACTTGGGCTGTTTCCTAATTTAGCTATTGTAGATAATGCTTCTATAAACATTGGAGTGCATGTATCCCTTTGAATCATTGAAAAATATTTTTGTATTCTTTGGGTAAATATCTAGTAGTGCAATTGCTGGATCATAGGGTAGTTCTGTTTTTAACTTTTTGAGGAACCTCCATACTCTTTTCCACAGTGACTCCATCAGTTCACATTCATACCAACAGGGCTCGAGGGTTCCTTTCTCTCCACATCCTCGCCAACACCTGTTGTATCTTGTGCTGTTGATTTTAGCCATTCTGACTGGTGTGAGATGATAGTTCAGTGCAGTTTTTAATTTGTGTTTCCCTGATGGTAAGGTTGATGAACATTTTTTCATTTGTCTGTTGGCCATCTGTATATCTTCTTTGGATAAATGTCTGTTTGTATGTCCTACCCATTTTTTAAAGGTTTTTATTTTAATTCCAGTTAGTTAACATACAGTGTTATATTAGTTCTGCCCATTTTTAAATTGGGTTATTTGAAGGGTTTTGGTGTTGAGTTTTATAACTTCTTCATATGTTTTGGATACTAACCCTTTTTCAGATATGTCATTTGCAAATACCTTATCCCATTCTATAGGTTGACTTTTAGTTTCATTGATTGTTTTCTTCACTGTACAGAAACTTTTTATTTTGATGTAGTCCCAATAGTTTGTTTTTGCTTTTGTTTCCCTTGCCTCAGGGGATTTATGTAGAAAAAAGTTGCTATGGCCATGTCAGAAATTACTGCCTGTTCTCTTTTCTAGGATTTTTAGGGTTTCAGGTTTCACACTTAGGTCTTTAATTCATTTTTAATTTATTTACATATATAGTTTAAGAAAGTGGTTCAGTTTAATTCTTTTGCCTGTTGCTGTCCAGTTTTCCCAAAATCATTTGTTGAAGAGACTTCTTCCCATTGGGTATTCTTTCCTGCTTTGTGAAAAATTGACTGTATAGTTGTGGGTCCATTTTGGGGTTTTCTATTCTGTTCTCTTGATCTGTGTATCTATTTTTTTGTGCCAGCACCATACTGTTTTGATTACTATAACTTTGTAATATAACTTGAAGTCTAAAGTTGTGATGCTTCCAGCTTTGCTCCTCTTTTTTCAAGATTGCTTTGGCTATTCAGGGTCTTTTATGGTTCCATACAAATTTTAGGATCGTTTGTTCTAGTTCTATAAAAATGCTGTTGGTATTTTGATAGGAATTGCATTGAATATGTAGAGTGTTTTGGGTAGCATAGACATTTAAACAATATTTTTTCTTCTATTCCGTGAGCATGGAATGTCTCTTCATTTCTTTGTGTCATCTTTAATTTCTTTGATCAGTGTTTTCAGAGTACAGGTCTTTCACCTCTTTGGTTAGGTTTATTCCTACATATGTTATTATTTTGGGTGAAAAATCATTCTTTCTGATGGCTGAATTCTGTTGGATGTACCCTCTTTTAGTCAGTATCCTCTAATAAAGATTTGAATTATTTCTTTTTTCTGTTATAAACAATGTTGCTGTAAGCATCATTTTGTATATATATCTGCCCGGTGTTTTGGTAGACTCTCTAAATAGAGAGTAGAATAGACTACTCCTAAATAGGAGTAGAATTATTTTTTTTTTTAATTTTTTTTTTTAGGAGTAGAATTATTTAGACAAACATTGTGGATATCTAACATTTTGCCAATTTTCCTAAAGAGTTGATCAGTTTACAGTGGCTGAGAATAACTCTGCCCAAATAACATCAGGTCCTCCTCAAAGCACCCTGTATTTCTCCTTTGTAGCACATCAGAACTTCGTTTAAAAATTATGTACTCATTTAAAAAATTTCCCCCTTCCACTTATACACCCTTAAAAATATAAGTTCTTTGCAAACTGGAACACTGTTTCTATGTTACTTATATTGGTATCTGTAGCATCCAACATAATTTCTTACACATAATGTATGCTACACCCTTGTTGACATTTGGTATTATCCATGTTTGCCAGCCTGACAAATATAGGTCATTATTTTACTGTGTATTCTAAAATTACTAATCAGTGTGAACACCCTTTCACATATATTTATAATTTATAGTGTTTTTTTTCTCATTTTTAAACTCATTATTGATTTAAAAAATGCTTTATATTTCAATATGATATGAGCATTGTTGCACATATTTTTATGTGGTTTGTTGCTTGTCCTTTGAATTTGCTTATGGTGTTTTAGATCATATAAAAGTTTAAAATTTCTATGTAGTAAAATTATAAACCTTCTTTTTATGGCTTTGGATTTCATGCCATGTGTCAAAGGTGTTTTCCACTCTATAGCTGTAGATTTTCATCTAGTACTTTTTGATAGATATGCTGAATCTACATTGGCAAAGTATATAACCATTTCTTTTTTTATTTTTAAAGATTTTATTTATTTATTTGACAGACAGAGATCACAAGCAGGCAGAGAGGCAGGCAGAGAGAGAGGAAGGGAAGCAGGCTCTCTACTGAGCAAAGAGGCCGATGCGGGGCTCGATCCCAGGACCCCGGGACCACAACCTGAGCCAAAGGCAGAGGCTTTAACCCACTGAGCCACACAGGTGCCCCATTACATAACTGTTCTTATTTGATCATTTTGCCGTAGTTTTCTGGGTAAGTATATACTTACTGCTTACTACCAATTCTCCTGATGAAGCCTCTCCAGATATTTGGTTTGGTTCATATTTGTTGTCTAGGAGATTCCCCAGGCAGCATCCACAGGGATGGTTTTCCCTGAGTTCTTCTATGTTCAAAACTATTCATCTATGATCTTTATTTTTGAGAGTCTGTTTGGTTGGTTATAAAATCCTTGTCTTAACGTTTTCCTCCTTGAGAATCTTCAGTTTGTTAGTATGTTACTTTGCTGCCTGCTCTCAAAGTCCAATGACAGTTTTCCCCCTTATAAATGACTTGGTGATTTTGCCTGGGTGCTCAAAGGACTTTAAAAAAGTCTTTAATTGTTTCACTAGGTATGTTTCAGTGTTGGCCATTCTGAGTTGACTTTTCCAGGTACACCGTGGACCTTTCTTTGCAACATGTAGGTTCATGTCTTTCAGTTTATTCAGAAATACCATTCTAGTTTTCATCTGTTGCATGAGCCTGTCTCTCTAGCATGCCTTCACTATCTGTAGGGGCATTGGTCTGCTCAATATTTTCTTGTTTCTTATCATACCCTAATGCAGAATTTTACATATTTCCTTTCTGTTGCTCTCAGTTAAGTCAAATGGAAGGGGTGGGGCAGGATAATTTTCCCAGCTTTGAGCCTCTGGAGTTCTCTCTCCTGTTGTTCTGACAAGGTGTTCTGATCCGCGGCCTTGAGCTTAGTGAGATGTACAGGCTCTGTTTTCCTCCCCTTCTTTTATCTGGTTCTTCCCTTTCCTTGTCCTTTTCAACTCGGAGTGTACCTCCAGCAATTTTTCTCAATGAGTGCCTGTGTCCTGGAAGGGAGCTTTCCTTGGTTAGATTTGAGTTCATAGGGTTACAGACAGTAATAATGGCTGGTTGTCACGTTTCTCCCTTAGTCTCCCTCCCATGGGGAACATGGTTGTGCTTGCTTCCTGCCCCCTCCCAGTGTGGTACATCGCTCAGATATGGTGACCGTAGGAGTGGGCACTGGAGGTGTCCTTTGAGATGCTCCCCCACCTTCCAGGGTCATCAGTATCCTGCAGGATGTTTAAGTTGGCACCTCTCAACTTTGAGCCTGTCCCTCAGCTCCATCCAGGCTTGGCAGAATTGGGCAGGTGTGCCCGCAGTTTGTGGTTTAGGACCATGGTGGTTTTCCTGTTTTATCCGAGATAATGCCTTTCTTCTCTATGTAGCATTAGTCTTGTTTGGTTTGAAGGTCACAGAGAGGAGGGTGAAGCAAAATAACTCCTACTCACCCATTTTCAGTTAGAAGCTGATTTATATCAAATGCTACATGATCTAGTTTTTCTCTTCCCTCTCTTAATTGGAAGATATGCTGATAAGTTTATAATTCCTGTTTGTTACCTTTATGCCTTTAAACAATATGCTTCAAACACCCTTCTCAGTTTATCAACTTGAGGAATACATGTTTCAACATTCTTTTCTGAAAACACTAAACAATTGACATTTTCCTCAATCTTCGACTTTTGGGGATGCCTGGGTGGCTCAGTGGGTTGAGCCCTTCTGCTCGGGTTGTGATCTCAGGGTCCTGGGATCGAGCCCCACATAGGGCTCTCTGCTCGGCAGGTATCCTGCTTCCCCCCTCCCTGCCTGCTGCTCTGCCTACTTGTGATCTCTCTCTCTGTGTCAAATAAATAAATAAAATTAAAAAAAAAATCTTTGATTTTCATGACCCTTTGGGAATTTTTGTTATTGTTGAAATACTGTTTTACATTGTTAGCTTTTCTTTCTAAATTTCTTAAAATTGTATTTAGTTTTGTAGTCATAGTTAATATGTGGTCAAAAGATTTTTAAACTGAATTATGTCTATATATACATATATGTGTGTGTGTGTGTGTGTGTGTGTATACATATCATAAGTAAAGTTAAATACACAATAAAGTTTGTATTTAAATTCCAGTCAGTTAACATACAGTGTAATATTAGAGTCAGGTGTATAATACAGTGATTCCACACTTCCACGTAACCCCCAGGGCTCATCACAGCAAGGGTACTCCTTAATCCCCATCACCTATTTAACCCGTCCCCCCCACCCACTTCCTCTCCGGTAACCATCACAGTGTTCTCTGTAGTTAAGAGTGTTTCTTGGCTTGCCTCTCTTTTTTTTTTTCTTTGCTCATTTGTTTTG